TTGAAAACGAGATTGGCCATGTCAATGAAAATGGGGACAGGGTGTTTGTCTTCTATCTCTTGTTTGCATGTTTGTTACAACAGAGAAAATCAGTTGACGACGATAAAAGGAACGATCACACACACAAAAAAAAAGAAACTTAATCGGACATGGACTCGTTCCAGATGTTACCCATTCTTTCCCGAATGACCACCTTTGTCTATGCCCGTTTGTCTGAATGTTTTTCTTCTCTGTGATCTTCTTCTTCGTCTAGGTTCACCTTGACGTCAGGCGGCAAGGGGTTGATCGTTTGCTGTGGTAGAGGCGTTTCCTTTCCCTAGGAGGCATCTGAGGCGGGGGTTCGTTGCCTTAGGGGTCGGCCCTATGATCGACTCGGAGTGGACCGCACTGCAGGGGGATACCATGCTGTTGTGGCGGAGCCGGCCCGACTTCTGAGATTCGAGGTTCACTCGGGCGAGGACGAGGGGTATCCCAGACCACCTCCTAGGGGATGGACATGCGCTATTCACAGAAGACGTTAAGTCATTGTCGGCTTACGCTAAGGAGGACCGTCATAGTTTACCCTTTGTGGCCGTCTTAGGAGCCACAGACGAATGGAGAACTGACGCCATGAGAAGCCCAGTTCGTGTTTTCGTTAGTTATGAGTGGAGTGCATGTAGGCACCATCTTCGTGGATAGGTTTGCACCATAAGAAGTGCAAGCCTGGGGTCATCAGGCTAGTTGACAAAAGGTAACGACTAAAGTGTTGCTTCGAATGTCTTTGTGTCGGAGGCGGGTACGTCATCATTCATAGAACAACAAGAGTAATTATTTCCCAGAGGCAAGGTGGACCCCGTCTTTGGCGAAGTGATCAGTGTGTCAGTTGTTCGAGTTGGTCGCTGACTTGTATAGGTGGTAGCCGAGTTATTTGCAGATGGCATTCACACCAAAGTTAGAGGAAAAGCGTGAAGTCATCATTGAAACAATGACACTCTAACTCTGCTTGAGAGTTGGGGCACTCGTATTCCGTGCTAGCAGTCAGTATGGGGCGGAATGAAAAAACTTGGCAACGCATCTCATCCAGTCGAAAAAGTCGTGACAGTCCAGCCGTCTGGCAGGCAGAGTGAAGATGTTTTAGTCAGACGCCACTTGAGTGTCGCCTTGTGTATTGGTCATGTTTTGATCTTTTATTGATAGGTGTTGTTTGAAGCCAAGTCAACCTTTGTCGTATGCATGATTGTATTACATATAAGTTGATTTTGGAAGATAAGTCAACTTGCGTTGACCTGAGTCTTTTTTTTTTTTTGAAAGGGTTTGTCTGAGTGACTCTTGATTGTCTTCGAAAGAAGGGACTAGGGTCGCTAGAAGTCTTCCTTACGCTTGGAACGTCACGTCCTAGTCGACCGACGTCGGTCCGATTCCTGGGAGATCAGCGCCCCAGGGACAGACGACGTTCGAGTCCACTTTGGCGTTTAACTATGCGTACCTATGCTACAGCGAACGAGCAAACGCCCTTGGCCGCCCTACCTCTGCAACTGCATTATAAAAGCTTTCGCATGTGGGTCGGTAGCTCGGTAGGGATACGCCCCTAAGGGCGGTGACAGCCCCTTAGGGAAGGTAAGTTGTGCCCCGCGGAAACCTATCCTGTCGTAGGGGACCGTGGGATGTACAGCTGGCGCACTCGGCCGGAGCGGTGACGGGTCGACGCGGGTTACCGTGTTGTCCCCAAGCTGTCTCTAAAAAGTTGGAAAGCTAAGTTTATCCTGCGTGACGCGGCCGGGAGGGCCCTCGCTCACGCGGGGGCCGATGCGCTCGACAACGTTCACTGCTGAAAGCCGGAAAGTAGAATTTTGAATCCGAAGATCAGGGTCTCAAACTGCAGTGAGAGGATTCACGCGTCTCAGAGTACGGTCCTGATACCAAGTCCCAAATTTCGCCTGTACCGTAGATCCTTCCAATACCCCGTACGGAAACTTCCAGGTAGGTACCGTACAGTAGGTCGTAAGAAAGTTCCAGGTAGTACAGGGACTTCCAGGTAGTATACCAAACAGTAGGTCGTACAAAAACTTCCAGGTAAGTATCAGACAGTAGGCCATATAGAAATTTTCAGGCAGGTACCGCACAGTAAGCCATTGAGAAGACTTCCAGGTATACCTCACAGTAGGCCGTGCAGAAACTTCCAAGTAGGTACTGTGCTGTAGGTCGTACAGGTACCAGTAGGTAGAAGTCTGCAGGGGTCAGCCATTAGGTACCGGACCGGTCAGTTGCAGCCCAGTCCAAGGAACGTTCTACCATGGTCCGAGTCGTTGAGGCCGGCGGTGGCCAAGGAAAGGGAGTGACATCACAAGTCTCATTTTGGTACTGCAGCAAGTGCAAAAAGCCAAGTCGCAGCAAGCGTCAAAAACATGGTTGCAAGAAAAAAAAGAGAAAAAAAAGAGACTCAAAACTTCTTGCCATTCAGGCTGTTGCAGAAGCGCTGCTAAGTTATTGTGCCACCTGGTCATGGATGAGAGCCGCAAGTGAGGGTGGTAGTAGTCAACAACACCTGGTGCCATAACTGTTAGAGGAAATAGAGACATTCAGAGAGGCTAGCAAGACCGGAAGGTAGATAGGAGAGAGCAAGTGAGAGAGATATACCTGCTTGATAATGATGACCTGTTCTATATAACTTTGAGTTTGACAAATAATATCCAAGTGTGCTCATATTGTGTGAATCTTGCCTTCCTGTATGGAGCTGGTGTGATGCTGCATGCGTGTGGAAGTGGAAAAAGGCGGGTGTGAATTTCAGGATCATAGCAGCAATTTCCATTGTATTAATTTGTATATATCATCAATATCTATATATTCTTGACCAAGTAGGAATAGGAACTGGTTTAGCCCAAGGGCTTTAGGGGTAGTGCACGGAGATTTCCTTTCCTGGACTGGGACACAATGTGTATTGCTGGATATGTAACGTCCAGCAGATTGTGTTCAAATTTTGAAGTTACCCATCCTACTTGAGCACAGGTAGCCACTACCGGTTTCCCCCGAACACAATGCACCCTGATCATGAACGTATACTAGCTATTAGGGGAGGATGGTAGGACGAGGCCTTATGTCAAGTAAACTTGGTGGTCAAAGGGGCTTGAGGGTAGCCTCTCTTCTTTTGGCTTGACCAAAACTGAACAGATACAATGGAAGGCAGCCTGGTCAAAGGAATTTTGAAGATTCGTTTTCAAATCGAGTCACTTTAACCGCTAAGCCCTTAACTCCCTTGGTGCCTAAAGGGGATTATTATCTCCTAAAAGGGATTATCTCCTAACTATTGCATCCATCAGGATTCAAACACATGATCTGTTTGTCAGCAGCTCGATGTGTATGCCATTCGGCAACAAGGCCGGGTCGCCATTTCACCTGTTTTTGCTTCTTGTTTTCCTGTGCCTTCTTGCCCTCCTGATATGATGTACAATAGTATAATCCACCTGCCAGGTGTATGCACACTAGAGGGCTAATCTCAAGCAGTGTGTTTTTCTCTCCTTAATATCTTGAGAGTGTATGGAATACTGTTGTCGGCCAGGGAGGGCTTCTTACTCCGCCCCTAACTCCAAACCCCAACTCACTGATGTTTTGCGCCCCTTTCAGTCCCAACACACCTCACTCGCTGGATCATTTCCCTTCGCTTGCTCTCCTCATCTCGCTCGTGCGTCCCCTGCTTTCTATCCTCCAGCTAGCTCCTCACTGTCAGCGCCCTCCTTGCAAGCTCAATTTGAGTGCATCGGTCCGACCTTCCTACTACCTAATTCTCTCTCTCTCTCTCTCTCTCTCTCTCTCTCTCTCTCTCTCTCTCTCTCTCTCTCTCTCTCTCTCTCTCTGTTGCATACTGTAAAGGTGCAGACCAGAACAAGAACCGACCTCTCTATCAAAGTACAAGATAGCGCAGCGGAAAACTTAGATACCGATGATCCGAACAATCAATATTGCAATGCAGCCCAGAACATACATCATCATCATCATTCCATGGTGTGAAGGGGTCTAGCGCTCACACAGGAAGACTGCGCCAGCCCCAACCATACACGGACGAAGAAGAGGGGGGTTAGACGAAGAAGAGGGGAAGATGGGGAATGTCGTCAACACCAAGTCTTCGGCACAGGCCCAAATAGTCCCTCGTCAAAATGTCTGAATCCCAATGTCGTCAAGTCTCAAGTCACAACTCTTTCTTTCTGTAGTAGTCCGCTGATACTGAGAAGTCAGGTGGTGAGAGGGGAAGAAGAGATGGTGGACTTAGAAGAGGAAGAAGAAGAACTCTCTCTCTCTCTGTGTCCGGTACTAACCTGTGAAGTTGGCGCCTTGATGCAGTTCCCTCAAAGATGGAGCTGGAGCTATGGCGCCATAGGTAAGTCTCGCTGGCCTCCGCCAGCCATCTCTTTCCCACACTACTACTACCACCTACTAGCGCCCAACGCTGAAGACTACTGCTAGCGCTAAGCTACTCCTGGCAGCGCTCCTCCTGAGCGCTGCGGCTGAATCCTGAAGACTACTCGTGCCTACTGTCCAACTACCTACCCGTGTAGTGCATGGGAATTTCCTATGTACTACTTGGCCTGCCTCCTGACTGCAAGAGGCTGCTCTTGGCAATGCCGCAGGGAGTCAGGGGCTGCCGCTGCAGCTTCTGCTTGAGGCTGTCGTGGGAAACAGGCTAAAGATAGCCTGTTCCCGAAACCCTGGTTTTGTGCCCGAGTCTTAGGGTAGGTCGATCTTATGAGGGCCCGAAAGTGGCCCTCCGTTTCAGGCTGAAAAGCCTCAGGGCTGAAAAGCCCTGTTTTAGGCTGAAACGACATAGGGCCTGCAGGCCCTCGTTTTTCAGTCTTTCAGGCTGAAACGACAAGGGCTTGTACGCCCTTATTTCTAGGCTTTTAGGCTGGAAATGCGGGACGGGCCCTGCAGGCCCGTGTGGCTACGCAGTATGCCACACCCCCCCCTCCTTGAAGAACCGAGCTTACCTGCGAGGGCGAAGCTGTCTGTCTGAGGGAGGGACCACAGTCCGGGTGGGAGGGGCAGGTCGTGAAGGTCCCTGAGCTAACCTCTGTCACTCGTAGTGAGCGTAGATCAGCGGCGCGAATGCTTTTAAATCTGTTCCTGAAATCCACCGAGTGTCGTCGGGATCGCGTGCTCTGAATGTAACTTTGTACTGGCGAGGCTTGTTGTCGTACTTGCGCTCCGTGATGACGCAGTCAACTTCCTGCTGACCATCCATAGATGGAGGGTCCTGCAATCGTCGGCCTGGGATGTCGTCGCTCTTAGTTGGTGTATATGTTGCCAGCTTCGAGGCGTGAAAGACTGGATGGACCGTCAGATGCGCCGGGATGTTGATCACAAATGAAGGGCCATCGGGCTCATCGCCCGCGACTGATGTTACGGGCCATGGTCCAAACCACTTGGGAAGCAGTTTGCGTGAAACATCCTGTTCCAGTGCAAACTCTTCCGCGGAGACCCAAACCAGATCACCGGCGCGGATGGGACATGGCACGCGACGCCTGTTGGCTTGCTGCTGCATGCGGACTTGAGCCTTTTGCATGTTCGCGCGGGCTTGAGCCAGCAATTCCCTGTACTTTCGGACGGAAGCAGGAGAGCAAGCGGCGTCAATGTCGGCTGGTCGTGGGAGGAGAAGGTCGGCGAAGATACGGCCTTTCCGTCCACCGTGGTGGAACTCTAATGGAGTCACGCCGATCGCCGGGTGCACCGAAGTGTTGTAGGCGAACTCGATGTCAGGGAGGCGGTCATCCCAATCTTTCTGGTCCGGACGGATGAGCGTACGAAGTATCATTTGAGCGGTTTGATGTGCCCGCTCCGTTTGCCCGTCCGTCTGTGGATGCCGAGCCGAACTTGGTTTCATCTTCGTGCCGGACTCCTGCATGAGAGCAGTCCAAAATGCCGACATGAAGCGAGTGTCGCGGTCGCTGACTATGTCTTCCGGTACACCGTGGCCACAAATCCAACCGGTGTGCAAGAGGCCGTGGAGTAGTACTTGCAAGGGAGAAAACGAGCATACTTACTCAAACGGTCCACAACCGTGAGGATGCTGTCGTGCCCGAGGCGATCGCGAGGAAATGGTCCGGTGACATCCATGGCAATGGAGAGGCCGGGTTCCCGTGGGATAGGCATCGGGCGCAACTCGCCGTAGGGGTTGCGATTGCGGGGCTTGCTTCGTCGCCAAACTTCGCAAGAGTCGCAATACCGAGTGACATCGGTAATGAGGTCAGGCCATCGGAATCGTTGTCGAAGCCGTGCAATGGTGTGGTTGACTCCGAAATGGTCGGCGAGTCACGAGTCATGGTACTCGCCGAGAAGGCAAGTCCGAAGACGACGGTCTCGTGGGACACACAATAAGTCTTTGCCTCTCGAGTGGAGGAGCAAGTACCCATCGGCAATGCGATAGTGGCTGGCCGACGGGTGATCCGAAGATAACTGCGCATACAACGTGGCGAAGTCCGCATCCGACTCATATCCCCGGATGAAGTGTCGCTGAAGTTCCTCGTCGAATGCGAAGGCATGATGTGTCATAGCACAAAGATCAGGTCTTCGCGGGAGTGCATCTGCTGCGCGATTGGAGAGGCCGGGAAGATGTTTTGGTGTGAAGTCAAATTGGTCGATGAAGTACATCCATCGTCCGGTCGTGCTGCTCACCGTATCCTGCGTCTTGTAGTAAGTCAGTGGGTTGTTGTCCGTAAACCATGTGAATCTACGACGCCCAAGGAGCAAGTGCCGCCATCGCTTGAGAGCCATCACGAACACGAGCAGCTCCTTCTTCCTTGCATCATCAAGCGAGTTGATGGGAGGCACTTTGTGGCTGAAATACTCCACAGGGTGCCAGTCGTCGCCGTCGTGTTGTTCCAAGACTGCCCCAATGCCATAGCCGGAAGCGTCAGTTGTCACTCTCGTAGGCACGGTGGGGTCATAGATGCTAAGGACGAGTGCCATGAGCATGGCCGTCTTTAGTGCTTGGAATGACCGGCGTGCGTCGTCATCGAATACGAATGGCACCTTTGGCGATTGTAATCTCGTCAGAGGTGCAACAATCCTTGAGTATCCGGTGATGAATCGCTGATAGTAGCCCGCCAACCCCATGAATGAACGAACGTCCATGGTGTTGGTGGGATCGGGCCATACGCGGAGGGCCTCGATCTTGTCCGCAAGCGGACGGATGCCTTGCGGCGTCACATAATGTCCCAAGTACTCCAGCTCCTGCCGCGCGAATTCGCATTTGTCGCGGTTGGCTTTGTACTTGGCTTGTCGTAGCCGCTCCAAAACGGTGCGCAGGTGTTCCACATGCTCGTCCAGACTCCGGCTGTACACCAGGATGTCGTCGAGATAGATAAGTATGAATCGATCCAGCATGTGTCGGAACTCCGTTGTCATAGCCGCTTGGAAAGTGGCCGGGGCATTCGTAAGGCCAAATGGCATAACCAGCCATTCGAAATGCCCATATCGCGTCTTAAAAGCGGTCTTGTAGCGGTCCTTCTTCCGATTCTCGAGTTGGTGATATCCCGACTTGCGGTCCAGCTTGGAGAAGAACTTGGCGCCGCGTAGTCGTCCGAGAAGGTCGTCGATGCGTGCGAGAGGGCCGACGTTTCTGATCATTTGCACGTTGAGCTTGCGATAATCGATGCACAACAGCAAATCCTTGTTCTTCTTCCGGACGAAGAGAACGGGAGCACCGTATGGCGATGAGCTAGGCCGAATCCAGCCTTTCTCCAGAAGGTCGTCGAGTTGTGACCGAAGCACACTTAACTCTTCCTCGCTCATTCGGTAGATGCAACCGCGCGGAGGTACGGTCCCGTCCTCGAGGATGATCTCGTGGCGGATGGGCCGATCCGGTACTACTCCGTGCGGACCTTCGAACACGTCGCCGTAGGCGTCGAGAAGCTCGGTGATGCGTGGGTCCGAAGATGAGTCCGTCGATGAAGCGTCATGGGGCGGGAGGGCGTGGAGAAAACACACCCCCATCTCCTCGATGTCGTCTCTGATGATGGAAGCTCGCATGCTTGCGGCGGACACCACGTGGCAGCTGATCGAAGGGTGAGGAGTAGGCACCGTGCATGGGACTAGTACTCCGTTCTGATCACGAACGTGAACGGTGCGGCGGTAGAAGCTCACCGTGTGATCCTCGCTTCGCAGCCATGACATGCCCAAGATCATGTCGAATTTGGTGTCCAAGATATCGAAGGACACCGCCTCGCTTGCATGCGGGGCAAAGTACACTGGGACGTCATCAATGCATCGGTCGATTGACTTGTGCGTGTGACCGTCTGCCAACGTGACTTGCATCGGCTGGGACTTCCTCCGGACGCGTGGGCCGAGGCCGGCGCGTACCATAAAGTCCTGGCTCATGTAGTTGCGAGATGCTCCGCAATTGATCAAAGCGCCGCAGGTCGCCTCTCCGATCTGAATGCGTACATATAACAATGGTGTATCGATCTCGTCGTACCGTTGTGTCTTGAACTCGCGGTCGATCTTCACAATGTAGGCGTGAAGGTCGACAACCTCTACTCCGGCGTCCATCAACGGAGTTGGAACTGCAGTGTGCAAGTAATCCCGCAATTGTGCCATGAGCACGTTGCAATGCGGTTTCGGCAATCGACCGGACCGGGGAAGGGGCATCCATTGGAAGTCCGCAAATGTCAATGGGTTGAGCTCTTGAAGTCTTGACCATGACGTTGAATCCCCGGCGGTAGATGGAGGCGCCGATGGTGATGAAGCCGTGCATGCGGTAGATTGTTGCACGTGGACCGGTTGGTCCAGCGGTGGGACCAAGTGGACAGCATAGTCCTCGTAAGCATATCGAGAACTTACGACATTCGCATCCTCCCCAGATGTGTAGGAGGCCGCTAGCAAGGCGGCCGAATCTGGCGGAGTGGGAGGTGGAGTCGCCTCACCTCCCGCGGAACTCAGGTTCCCGAGTTGATACGAGGCCGAACATCCTCCTTGCCCTGATCCTGGCAGAGGGAGGTCTTGTGCTTGGTGCTATTGCACCAATAGCAGCAGCTGTAACGGCCGCGGTACTTGTACTCGGCCTCGGTCAAGTGAAACTTGACCCATGGTGCTGGCTGTCCGTTTCCGGCCGGCGATGCGGTTTTCGCCTTCCCGTTCCCTCGGGACTTGTTGTTGCTTCGCGGCTGGACAGCAGCCACCTGATCTCCCTCACTTGACGCTTGGGTGGCTGCCGGGTCTTCCACAATGTTGTCCGATTGGACTGCAGCGAACTGCTGCGGTCGCGGACCAGTTTTCACCTTCTCCACATAGGTTGGCTGCCACGTTGATTTCTCGTGTGCAGCTGCCCTGTTTGTCTTGATGATCTCCCTCGCCTTGTTGATGATTTCGGCGAAGGTGTTGTACTGCTCGCGATCACCAAGCGCGAGGCTCAAAGCGGCGCATGATCGGCTGTAGGCAAGGGCACAAAGTCGAAGTCTTGGATTCCTCGACACGACTGAGGGTCGGACGCAGACAGTGGCAAGGGCACAAAGTTGAAGTCTTGGATTCCTAATGCCGAAACCGCAAGTCACACTGAGTACGAGTACAGCAGCTGAAAACTGGTACGAGACTGGTCCCCGTACTGTACGGGGAGCCAGTATAAGTCCCGGTGACACGTGCGGTACCAGGGGCATTTCCGCAAAAGCCCCAAGGGCAGAACTGAAAAATGCGGTATTTGAAAGTGGCGCCCGAATTGCAGCATGGCGCCAGTTGTCCAAACTCCGACGGTACCAAAGGAGGGGCTTGGAAAAAAAAGGGTCCTAGGCCGAAAACGGGATGCAGCAGAAACAGCAAAAAGATAGATCAGGGATCGACCCCTGGCGGAGTCCGTAACAAATACCCTCTATACCACCCCTATACCCCCCTATACTCCAACCCCAACCTCCCCATATCCCCCCCTATCCCCAAGAGTTTCTCAGCGGATTTGGGCTGTACTCAGCAAGCGCAGTACATCCCCCAACTCAGATTTGAAAAAAAATCAGTGGACGTTTTTTTTTTTTTTTTTTACTGGTCGGCAGACCGCAGACCGGTCGGCCCAACTGGGCAGCTGCAATACGGTCGGCGGTCGGGGTCGGCGGTTGGCAGGGATGCAACCCTGATGCAGAAAGTAAAGGGGTACTGCACCGCTGTCTTCCAGCAGGCAGACAACTATAACTTGATGTATTGGGAGGGTGCCATGATGCTCAATGCCACGTTGGCCTGAAGAACATGCACCTGCAACGCTTGGAGTGGTTTTATTGGCCCACAATGAGGAGTGATGTCACAAAGTACATGAAGGGTTGCACTATCTGTAAGTGGCCGAACGGAAGTGTACAGAGACCATACAACCTTCTGAAGCCACTCCCGATCCCTGATAGACCAGGAAAACCCATCTCCATGGACTTCATGGGAGGCTTCCCTAAGACCAAGAGGAAGAATGATGTTGTTTTCATCATTGTTGACAGCTTCAATCATGGAGAAATCTGCCACTACGATGGAGATTTCTTCCAACTTTTTTGATAACTCGGCCTGGCAGACATTGTCTGCAACAAACAAATTATGGCAAAGTCTGATGGAATTCACCACCACCAAACTCGATATGAGTTCACCCTACCACCTGGAGAGTGATGGTCAGACGAAGCAAATGAACAGGACCGTACAGGTGCGGCGATATCTGATACAGCCAATCAGATTGATGGGAACCTACAGTTTGCCAAGGTAGCAGGTGTTTACAACAGTTCCGTGCACCCTGCAACCATGCATCCACCTGCTGAGCTGCACCGAGGATGGGATCCTAGCATGCTTGCATGCTTGTGGACTTTCTGGTTCCAGATCAGCAGCTCAAGCACCCTCATGGGACGATGGAGCTCACTATACAGTTTGCTGAAGAACTCCACGCAGAATGTGCAACAAGTGATGGCTGATCATTTAACAAGCACCTTCACCCTTTTATCTTCAGGGAGCATGGACGAGTTTGCAGTTGAAGAACGTGTCAGCAGAAACTGCAGCCTAAGTAGTGTGGGCCTTGGGAGATACTGCATGTTGTTGGTGATGATGCAGATGAGCCTTTCTACCTCGTGGACATACTTCGGCATCGGAAGACTTGCATTGTGTTTGATGCCTCCAAATTGATGTCCTGCATGGCTTAAAACTCCCAGGCAGGAGGAAGATGCATCCTCCCACCATAGATGGATATGTGGACATTGACTGAATTGTGGGGCAGAGGCGGATGTGACAGCAAAAGAGGGAGACCCAGCATCATCTACAGGGTCAAGTTCAAATACTACCCTGATGATGTGGAGGACGAATGGATCGATCACACTGAGCTAGTGCAAATGGCACCTCCGATAGTTGCCCAGTACGAGGGGCAACTCTGGGGTTGTCAGTGCAGCAGTTGATTCTAGAGTCTGCAATTTTCAGATTTTGGTTATGCATAATGAACATGGCTACCGCGGACCCGGACACCGGACTGATCCGGACCCAGACAACCAGTCGGTCCGGATATGATCCGGACGTCCGGATTTCTGCACCAGTCCGGACATGGTCCGGATCAGTCTGGATGGTCTGGATGATCATGTCCGGATCGGTCCGGGAAAAAAAAAAACAAAAAAAAACTTGCAGGTCTCTTATGCATGTTGAATGCAGTTTCATCGTGTAACCGTGACTCAATGGGAAGTGTTCCAGGAAGACATAGCTGTTGGCATATATGACAAGCATGAATGATCATTCCTTGACATGCACTGTGCTGGCACAGTCACTGCAAAGCACAAACTGCTGCCAGGGAAGAAAAAGTGAAGAAACAAAAAAAAAGAACACTCCGCAGTAAACCTGAATAAAGGTAAATAACTTTAGCAGTTCATAATTTAAAGTTCAAAGTTTGAAGTCCGAGTTCAAACTCTCTCTCTCTCTCTCTCTCTCTCTCTCTCTCTCTCTCTCTCTCTCTCTCTCTCTCTCTCTCTCT